TATTTTGTAATGTGAGAAGATGAGATTGAGGGGTCGGGGCTGAATAATATGGTTTGGCTGTCACCTGAGCAGCAAGGTCTGGTCAGTGGCAACCTGGTCAGTGGGAGTCTGGTCACTGGGGACCTGGTTAATGGAAACCTGGGTCAGTGGGGGGCCTGATCAGTGGGATCATGTGGAGCGGGGACCTAGTCAGTGAAGGCCTACTCAGTGGGGTTAGTCACTTGAGACATGGCCAGTGGGTACCTGCTCACTGTGGCCTTGCAGGTTGAGGTTTGGTCACAAGGGCCTGATCAGTGTGGGCCTTCTCAGTGGACCTAGTCATTTGGGACTTGGTCCCAACTTGAGGCTTATTTAATGGGGGTGTGGTCAGCAGGTGTGTGCTTTGAGAGGGTATCATTAGGGGGATTGTCGGAACCTGATCAGTGAGGCCTTATCAGTAAGGACCTGGTCAGTGAGGGCTTATCAGTAAGGACCTGGTCAGTGAGGGCTTGTCAGTAAGGACCTGGTCAGTGAGGCCTTATCAGTAAGGACATGGTCGGTGAGGGCTTATCAGTAAGGACATGGTCAGTGAGGCCTTATCAGTAAGGACATGGTCAGTGAGGGCTTATCAGCAGGGACCTGGCCAGTGAGAACTGGACAGCAGGGACCTGGTCAGTGAGGCCTGATCAGAAGGGACCTTGTCAGTGGGGGCTGCTGATCATGCTGGGAGATGCCAGGTGCAATGCATATCATGGAGGGTTCTGTGCACAGCTGGGATGGCCCAGAGATGTCTAACAGTTCAGTCAAAAGTGGCCAAAGCAGGTGTTTGGATGGACCTGGGAGATCTTGCTCAAAGATTATGACAGGACAGAGGTAAAGGAAGGGCAAGAGTGGCTGGAGAGATGATCACAGTCTATGAGCTAGACAGAATGGAGGAAGTCAGGGAACAGGCAGGGTGGGCAGCTGTGGTGCAAGCAGAGGCAGGTGCATGCTAGGAGGTCAGACCCTGTGAGGGCTTTTGGGGCTTCAGGTGGGGTGGGTTCCAGGTGCACCCTCATTACACTGGGCAGGTCTCAGCCCAGGCTTCCTGGACCTTGACTGGGTGATGTGGTCACTCCCTGGGGGACTGCTGTCAGGCCTCGGCCACCCACCCTGGGCAGCACTTTCCTACCTCAGGACTGGACTCTCTCAGAGCTTCCAGAGGGCACAGCCTCCAGCCCTGGAGGGGCAGCCTTATGCTGCAGCTCAAACTCTCCATGGGCCTGGAGCATCCCCTGTCAGTCCTGTGCTTCCTCTTCTCCCAGGTCTTACTTTTCCAGTATCAGTCAGCAGGGAGGCTCTATTCTTTCTGCCCTGTGTGTCTCCTGGGCTGAAGCTTGGGGTGGATTTGGACAGGGATGGTTCTTCTCTCAGGCCCACTTAGAGAGAGGACTGGCTCCCAGTCTGGCACAGGTCCTCAGCTCTGCCGTGGTTGCCTTAGAATGAGATGGATTAGTCAGTGCTCTGAAGGTGAAGGTCAGTTTCTCTCCTGTGCAGGAGGCTGGTCTAGGGATGGGGGATTTGGCAGGTTCTCCCAGGCTGTCAGGCCTGGGCAGCACTGCTGTGTCTCAGGACTCAGAAAGTCCAGTCCTGAGATGGGATGGTGCTGCCCAGGATGGGTGGCTGGGGCCTGACAGCAGTCCCCCAGAAAGTGACCACATCACCCAGACAGGATCCAGGGAGCCTGAGACCTCCCCAGTGCACTGAGGGTGTACCTGGAGCCCACTCCACCTGACGCCCCCACAGCCCTCGCAGGGTCTGACCTCCCAGCATGCACCTGCCTCTCCCTGCATCCTGGCTGCCCACCCTGCCTATTCCCCGACTTCCTCCATTCTGTCCAGCAGGATGAGCTGGACAGGGGGACAACCTGTGTGCACATTTGGTGGCAAGTAGGAGTGACACACCATCCCTTGGAGGCCCCCTGGTTTTTGCCAAGCCCAACCCCAGAACTCTGTCCAGGAGGGGGTTTTCCACACCAAAAGCCAAGAACTTTGAGAGAGATCCAAGATGGCTGATCACTAACAGCTCAGGATTGTAGCTCCCAGTGAAAGCTCAGAGAACGAGAGGACGCCACACTTTCAGACGAATTTTTGTCGCTCACGGACCAGCAGATTTCTAGTGGAGGAGCCCCACGGGTCACCAGCGTGACTCTTGTGGCCGGCGCAGCGGTTTTGCCGGCACCTTGGCATGGCAGCTCTTCATGCAGAGTAAACGGGACTGGTTCCCCTACTGACTGGTGTTTGGAGCTCTGGGAAGGCAGAGCCGCTTGTTGCGGACTCAAGAAGGAGGCCAGACCAGAGATTCCCGGGCAGAAGAACACCATCAGTCTTATCGCTGCTGTTTTGGCCGGCGCAGTGGGTTGCTTGAATCCCAGCACTGGGAATTCCTCACTGACCAGGTCCTCACTGATAAGGCCTCACTGATGTCGACTCAGAAACCTAATTAGAAAGGCGATAATTGTAAAGATGACAGATGGATAAATTTATAATAAAGGGAAAAAACCAGCCTAAGAAGGCCAAGCATACCCAAAATCAGAACCCCTCTCCCTCTACAGGGGATTGCAGTTCCTCATCAGCAACAGAACAAGCCCTGATGGAAAAGAACTGTGTTCCATTATCTGAAGTAGGTTTCAGAAGGTGGATAATAAGAAACTTCTGGGAATTAAAAGAACTTGTTCTAACCCAATGTAAAGAAACTAAGAACTTTGAAAAAAGGTTTGTCAAAATGCTGAAAAGAATAGGCAATATAGAGATGAATACAAGTGAACTAATGGAGTTGAAAAATACAACACAAGAATTTAGTGAAATATGCACAAGTTTAAATAGCAGAATGGATCAAGCAGAAGAAAGGATATCAGAGGTCGAAGACCAACTTAATGAAATAAAACGACAAGAGAAGAATAGAGAAAAAGGATGAAAAGGAATGAGCAAAGTCTCCAAGAAATGTGGGAATATGTGAAAAGACCAAATCTACGTTTGATTGGTGTACCTGAATGTGATGGAGAGAATGAATCCAAGCTGAAAATAAGTTTCAGGATATTATCCACGAAAATTTTCCCAATCTAGCAAAGCAGGACACTATTCAACCCCAGATAATACAGAGAACACCACAAAGATATTCCTCAAGAAGAGCAACCCCAAGACACATAATGGTGAGATTCACCAGGATCGAAGCGAAGGAGAAAATACTAAGGGCAGCCAGAGAGAAAGGCCAGGTTATCCATAAAGGGAAGCCTACTCGACTTACAGCAGATCTCTCAGTGGAAACCCTACAAGCCAGAAGAGAGTGGGGGCCGATATTCAACATACTTAAAGAACAGAACTTTCAGCCTAGAATCTCATATCCTGCCAAACTAAGCTTCATAATTGAAGGAAAAATCAAATCTTTTATGAACAAGCAAGTACTCAGAGATTTTATTACCACCAGGCCTGCTTTACAAGAACTTCTGAAAGAAGCATTATACATAGAAAGGAACAACCAGTATGAGCCTTTCTAAAAATATACCAAAAAGCAAAGAGCATCAACATAAAGAAGAATTTACATCAACGAATGGATAAAATAGCCAGCTAACATCAAATGGCCGTAACCCTAAATTTAAATCGACTAAATCCCCCAATCAAAAGATACAGCCAAAACCTAACGGTATATCCAAAGATACACAAAGACTCAAAACAAAGGGTTGGAGAAAAATTTACCAACCAAATGGAGAGCAAAAATAAACAAATAAACAAAAAGCAGGAGTGGCAATTCTCACATTTCATAAAATAGATTTCAAAGCAACAAAGATACAGTGGTAAAAGGATCAATGCAACAATAAGAGATCTCAATACCCATGCCCAGATACATAAGACCCATAACGAGATTTAGACTCAACGAGACAGAAAACTAATAAGGATATCCAGGACTTCAACTCAGATCCGGAACAAGTAAACTCAATAAATATTTATAGAGTTCTCCATTTTAAACACACAAAATATTAATCAGCCATTATTAATACCCATTTTTAGAATGAAGCATTATTCTTGTTCTCTCTTCCTCTTTTTCCTCCTCTCCTTCTCTCCTTTTTTTACTTTTCAACATCCTAGTTCCTCACCTCTACTCAATACATTCCTCTGAACACCTGATTCCTTGTGATTCTCCCGTCCCACTGAAAAAAAAAAGAAGAAGAACTGCGAATGTGGCTCAGGAGTTAGCACCTGCTAGTGCCAGGACACTACTGGGAGGCTGAGACCTGACAAAAGCCCATGGTGTCTGTGGCCTGAGGACAGCATGTTTTGGAGCCATAAGGCCAAGCCACAATGACCATTGGGTCAGAGGGGCTCAGCCCATGTTTGTCCTTCCCTGGCTCTTTCTGACTCAGTCCCATCAGGGCCCTGGAGCCCAAGACCCAACATCCAAGGTCCCCTCCAGGAATCCTCATGGCTCAGCTTTATCGTGTTTCATCTGAGAGTAAAAATGTCAGATCAGATGCACAGAAAAATGGCTCCAAGTATTTAATGACTAGAAGAAATCTAGGAGCAGCAAGAAGGTAATGTGTAGAGGGCAGGGCCTCCATGATCGATGTCTGCAGAGCCAGGGGAACAGGCACCCAGTGCTGTGGCCTGGCACCACCTGCCTCTCAGAGGGTGGGTGGCACACTGTCCTTACCCAGAGGATAGCAGGTCTGGTCACCAGCTTTTCTACCTGTCCCTGCAAGCATCACATTGCTAGAAGAAAATCTCATGTCAGGGCCTGGACCATTTTTAGCTCAGGGGTTAGGATTTTCTCTTGGTGACCTAAATAAAAAAATAGGTCCAGACCAGAGTTCTCAACACTGAACACTCATCCACTCTGAATCGTGGGAGGGGAGGCCTGGTCCTAAATAGAACTAACCTCTTTGAGGAACCACAGAGCCCAAGGCTGGAAACCTTCGGAATTCTCTGGCACTGATTATCACTGGGGACCCCTGTGACCTGTCTCACTGAGCACTCTTCCATCTGTAGATGTCTTGGCTGCTCTACAAGGGAGACCCCTTTCAGATGTGGAGCTGGACATGGTGACTCCTGCTGGATGTCTAGAATGTGGAAACCTAAGGAAAGACGTACAGCCTTTCTGCGCTCATCCAGAGCAGGAAAAACAGGCCAGGCGGTGTCAGGAGCCCAGGCCTCCAGCTGGAGGGAACTTCAACCCTGCAGTGGGAGCAGAGGCCCTTCACATCCTAGGCACAGATGGGAACATAGGCACTGCAGGTAAGCTAGGCTTGGTACCCCCGCCCCACCCCACATTCAGAAAGAAGCCAAACAAGGAGCTTTCTGCAGAATAAAACCTTTCCTTCCAGAAGCACTGCAGACTGGTGGTTGCCGTCTGTGGAAGTGAGCCTTTTGTCCATTCTGAGGTTGTGAGTGCTGGCTTTTCCTCTTGGCCCTGCCCTACAGACCATAAAGAAGAACAGCAAGAGGTCCCCAGTAAACCTCACAGATGGGTTTGTGGCCCTGGACATAAGCCACATTCTGAGAAACATGTCATGGTCTAGAAGGGCTAAGGTATCAAGGAAGTCCTATGGGTCTGGCGGATCCCAGGGCAGGTGGTACAATCCATAGCCATGGGGGCTTCCCATGGGAATTGAGAGGTCCCAAGGCAGAGGGAGGGGTTTTACAGTAGAAGTCACAGAGCCACCAAGGGCTCTCCTGGCCCAGGGAGCAGTCAACACCATGGACTAAACACCTGCTGAGCTCCAGGCTCTGGGCCAGGCTGGGGCATGTAAGTCCAGGAGGCAGCTCAGAGTGGGGGCAGAGAGAGAATTGTGCTCAGAGAGCACCCATTTCTCGATCTAATGTGGTCCTGAGGTTCTGGCTGGGAAGTGCTTTCAGGGTTTCATATGTGTTATGGAGCTGCTTCAACTCCCTGCAGGAATCCCAGTGAATATATTGCCACCACCTTGCAGGTCAGTGCCCTCACAGTGTGACAGCACCAGCAGATCTGCCTGTGCACAGACTTCCTCTACTACCTCACTCCTGGGGGCAGGCTTCTGCAGGGCCTATGACTTGGGGCACAACTTTTGACACTATCATCCTGGAGCGGCACTGTACCCTCACTAGCCAGGCTGTTGATGGTTTCGTCAAGGCCAAGGCCATGTTCAAGGCTTCATACTTCATTGATGCATTTGTGCTGAGCAAGGCGTGCTTCTCTAGCTTAATTCAGGAGGTAGAATGGAGCTTGAGATCAAGTGTCTGATCAAGGAACTTGAACTTGATCTAGAGGGCTCTAGGGAGCCGTGGAAGGTCTTGATAAAGGAGGGACAGTCAGACACATTGCAGAGATGACTGTAGAAGGCTGCCTGGAAGGAGTGAACAAGAGCCAAGAGACGAGGTGGGAGCTGATTGGGCAGGTCTGGCGATGGTAAGGGAGGGATCCTGCTTGGATGAAAGGTCTTCAGGGACTGTTTCAGGTTATATCCAGCTGCCCTCAGAGCTTGTATGTTCAGAGGTCTTGTCTCCAGGATGAAAATGGGAAGAAATTGTCAGATGAGAACATATAAATGGAGGCTGGCATCTTCATGAGTGTCCGTGGTGGTCTCAGTGTGGGACTACTGTGGGAACAGGGGTCTCCATCCAGGGACATGGTGGATGGACCCTATATCACTGCATTCTGCCCTTCCTTTCCCTCCTCCCATTCTCCCCAGGGACTTGGTGTTTGGGCGCTGTCCATCCTCTGGTGCTGAAGTAGCCAAGAGACCCAAACCTGCCTGGCTGCCTCTTAGGATATGACAGCACAGCCAGTGACCTCTACTGGGCCCTGTAGAACCTCACAAGACACCCAGAGACTGGGAGTGCTGCCAGCATGCGTTGCAAGAGCCCTGAGGGCCCACAATCCAGAAGACATTGAATGGTGGGTGCAGGGCCTTATGGCCTGTTCCCCAGGCCCTCTCATTGGCTGTCCTCCAGTTAGTGAAGGTGGAAAACGTTTTTGTCAGTTCTGCCATTATTGCCTATCAGGAAAAAAATCAGAGCCCAGAAGCATGGCCTGGTACCCAGCCTGCCTAACAAGGGAGAGTTTTTAGGCTCTGTCTACAGAAAGATCTAGGAGTTTATATCTATCACCCATGAACTTGCTGAGACATTAGTAAAATCAGATTTGTCTTTTTTTTTCTGAACTACATTTCTGCCATCTGTAAATTGAGGGGAATTTCTTCTATCCTATGAGGCTGCTTGGAGAATTGGTAACAGTGTGTGCAGAGCAGGCATTTGTGTCCAGACCACTCCTCTTCCCCCTTGATTTTCTGCCTAAATTTGTGTTTTGTTCCCAAGACCTTCACTCTCCTTTATTTTGCTCTTCCCTCTTTTTACCACCTTGTCATCTACACCATGCATTCACCAGGATCTAAGAGGGTTACAGTCATGTATGCACATATGTGTATGTATGTATGCACTGTGTTGGTGCTGCAGTGTGCTGTGTTTGTGTGTGTGTTGGAGTCACTGAGTGACTAAATTTCTCCACATCAGGTGGTGTTCTTGCTCATTGCCGGATCTGCGGTCAGGGCCCCTGGCCTCAACCCCAGGTCTGACCCTTGCAGTGCAGCCAGGCCATTCTGGAGGAATCATGCCCTTGGAAGGAGCCCTGAGGAGTGACTGGTAGGTGTCAGTGGATAAATACCGCAGCTTCCTTGATCTGGGTGGGGTGACTCTGAGGCACATGTTCTATGCTGTCTCTCAGAAGTACCCATCAGGGCTAAGTCCTGGCTGCCACAGTAGAAACTTTCTTGATAAAGGTCCCTGTGACTGTGGCATTCCTTTCCTGTAACAGCTCCCCACTCTGCTGATGTCTCCTGGGATCAGTACCCTAAGGAAGAACTGGCAGTAGAATTACTGTCCTACAGTCATCTCCACAGCAAATTTTTGTATTTGAATCTATGCCTCAGGATCTACTTCCAGGAAACTTAAACTAAGACACACATTTTTCTGTCAGCACCTCCAATCCCCATAGACCTGTCATTGTGCTGTTTTTCCCAAAAAAGAATGTGAGGATCAGCGAGGGAATGGCACTTGCCCAGAGTCACACAGCTGAGCAGTGGTAGAGTTCAACTTTGACCAAGGGCTGTCTGGCCCCAAGGTGGATGCTTGCTCCTTTCCCATGGTGTTTTGTGGGTCTCCTCCCTTAGTTTTTGATAAGAAACACCCTTTCCCCTTTCACTGGGATTGTTTCTGTGCACCCCACACTGAGATTTCCCCTGGTTGGGCAATGGGCAGGTGAGGGTGGAGGGAGCAACTCTTTAGAACCAACAGTGCCAGACAAGTCACATTTGGGGAAGTTCATGCTAAGTGTCCTGGGTCCTCTGGAATTTTCTGAGGCTTTCCTGTCCTCCCCACACCCCACCAACCAGATCATCTGGTCTTCTGGAATCTCTACTAAGATGCTGGCAGCCTGGCCAGCTGGTCTGGTTCTGGACATGCCCTCAGGGGCTGGTTATGCTTTAGTTATGCTTCATGACCTGTGTTGCGGTCAGTGTAAGCAGCACCTGCTTCTAGTTTCACTGTTGGGCCAGATTTCATCCCCACCATGGCTCCGCACTGCGCCTGCTTCCTCCATGGACCCTGCACACAATTGCCCCATGTTTCTGTTTGCGTACCACTGAGAAAGGAAGCATAAAGAATGCACAGGTCAGGCCGTTTTATTGCCCACCTGGTGCTAGGTCTTTACTTCTGGAATGGCTTCAGGAGCAGGTTCATCTTTATACCCCCTCTCCACATCTCTCAAGTTTCTGCTCAAAAATCACCTCTTGTGTCTCTGCCTGTCACTGTGTTTGGAACTGCTCCCTCAGTTTCTTTCTAGCTCATCTCACTCAGCTAATGTCTTGTATTACCACCACCATATGACCTGGTTTTATGACCTGTTAGTTTCCTTCATCAGACATGAGTACCAGGATGGCAGGGGCCTCATCTGTCCTGTTCCTCCTGTGGCCTGGGTCCTAGCACTGTGTCTGGTACAGTGTAGATGCTCAAGGGCAGTTGACTTTGAAGAACTGTCTACCTGGGAGATGTTACTGTTAGTCTAAGCTACACCATTTTGTAACCCCCCAGTCATTTTGCAGACCCTTGTCAGGGTGAAACATTCCATGGGAACGCAGGCCATGAGAAACAGCCTTCCTAACCACCTGACGGCAGAAACATCCTTATCACATTTTGCTGGGCAGGTGTGACTGCAGGAACATCCTTGCATATCCTGCTGTGCAGCAAGCTGTACCGCCCCAACCCCTCCCTCCAGTCCCATAACTACCTCAGCCTGTGAGCAGCAGTGGGTGCTGGCAGTAAGCTGGCTTCCTTCTCTGCAGGGTTTGCTAGCAATAAAGGTGTTGCTGTTGAAGCCGCCAACTGTCTTTCTGTCTTGCTTTAACCTCGCCTTACCTTAGAAACCTAACAATAACTCTGCCTCTCCATTTTGTCAAGGAGGATATGGAAGTCAAAGGGAGCAAGTGACTTCCCCAGAATTACACAGCCAGTGAGTCACAGAGCCAGAACTTGAACTCAGTTCAACTGAATTCAGAACTCATTTCTTCCTGACAATCCAGGAAAGGAAAGATGGAACTGCAGCCAGTTGGTAGCCCACATGCTTCTTCTAGGAGACCCCAGGTGGGCTCCTGGGAATTGTGTCTTCATGGCACAAAAGAACTCACCTGTGTTGCATCAGCTTAGTATTCCTATTGTCCCAAATCATTATTTATTTTCAAAGTTTTGTTTTAATTTTTCACAGCTCAGCGTTGAAAACAAAGCACAGAGACATGCAGAAGTCGTGTGTGGATTTTTCTTTTCTTTTTTGTTTGAGATGGAGTTTTGCTCTTGTTACCCAGGCTGGAGTGCAATGGCGCAATCTTGGCTCACCACAACCTCCACCTCCTGGGTTCAAGCAGTTCTCCTGCCTTAGCTCCCGAGTAGCTGGGATTACAGGCGTGCGCCACCATGCCCAGTTAATTTTTGTATTTTTAGTAGAGATGGGGTTTCACCATGTTGACCAGGATGGTCTCGATTTCTTGATCTCATGATCTGCCCGCCTCAGCCTCCCAAAGTGCTGGGATTACAGGCATGAGCCACCGCACCTGGCCATGTGTGGAGTTTTCTTACTTTTTCCAAGTGACTATGTAAATGATTGTATAAAAGAACACAAATATGCTCATACTTTTTATATAAAGTTGAGGCCATGCCACCCATATTCCTTTGCTACTACCCTTTCATTTTTTTTTTCATGGGAGGACCACTCCTCCATGTCTAACTCATGTGATTTGGGAAGGGCCGACCCATCCTGGGCAATCAGATCAGCAGGGTAATTAATACAGGAATGGGCATGTGATACAAGCTGTGCTCATGGAAGTCATCTCTGCACCTTTGATGACACTGCTGGGAGTGAGGTGCTTTCTTTTTATTGGATTAGCTACTTGCAAGGAAATAAGTGATATGAACTTTATGGGCCATTTTTGCTGTTCTCCCAAAATAGCCTGCCTGAAAAGCAGAGCTGACACAAGAAATGAAGGGACAGAATGAGCCTTGGCTGATATTAGTTGACCCTAGATCCCACTGAGCCAGAAGCCATCTACTCATGGACATTTTTACCAAATAATTCAATGTTCTGCTGAATCAAGTTAGGTTAAGTAGGTCAGGGACTCACTTGAAGTCAAGATAGTCCTGTGTAATATCACTCTCTCTTATGCTTAGGTCCCACCTGGCAGAGCTTTAGAGTTGTGGAAAGGGTAAAGTGAACCCAGGCAGTGCTGAGCTAGCCAGTCTGCAGCCTGGCTCAGTGTGCAAAGGAACCCTGGAATTATTACCACTTTGGTCCGACAAGTAGCCTTGCCTGCTGCTTACCATACAGCCATAAAGGTATTGCTTCCCTGAGCCCTTAGGCATTATACCTCTTTTTCAAAATGATTTTTATCTAAAAGACATTTTGTAGAGATGGTGTCTTGCTGTGTTTACCAGGCTTGTCTTGAACTCCGGGACTAAAGTGCTGAGATTATAAACGTGAGCCAGTGTGGTTGGCCAGCACTATACTTCTCTTAGTTGCCAGTGCTCTCTTTGTTCTGTAGTTTCTAGTGTGTGTGTGTGTGTGTGTGTGTGTATGTGTTTTACTTATATCTTGCAGGATTATTGCAAGCATCAAGTGGATTTCTGTAGGCACGGCACTCAGTTCAGTGCCTGGCACATACAGTGAGCTCTCTCTGTTCTCCTCCTGATTCAGAGAATAACTTAAACATCTGTGATTTGATCCAATTTTCAATGCCCTGGATAAATAATGGGGAGTTGGAGTACTGCTGCCATAAATTTTTAATTAGGGCAATTAGTTTTAACCAAGTAATTTAATTAGTTTTAATTTAATTAAACTGGTTTTCATTAACTTTATCTGTTTAGCAGGAGATATCTCAAAATCACCAAATAAATTTATGTACCATGTTTGCTCACATAAGTATTTCTTGAGAGCTGACAGGCTTAGTGTTTGTTTTGTTTCCCGATGCTGCAGTAGAGGCCAATGTGTTCTGATTTCTTGAGTGATGGTTGCAAGCTCTCCAAGTGTCACAGTAGGTGAGGCATCCATGGGGTGACAGCCAAAAATGAGTGTGGCAATTCAGCATCTGCAAGCCCATTGTGTCTAAACCGTGCTCCTTGTGAAAACTGAATCTATGTTCCCTTAGCAAAGAAGATGAAAATAATGAATATAGCAGGGAAATGGACAGAATTGGCCACATTAGGCCCAAATGAAAGATACAACAGGTACTCCAAATTAGTAGCATTAAAACCACATACTCAGACCATAATGCAGTCAAATAGTGACCAATTAAAACAAACTGATAAAAAATGTATCATGGAGCATATGAATTCTAAATCTAAATGGAAGGGAGCTCAAAGAGGCCTTCACATTGAAAATGAAACCATGTGTATGTAAGTGAATTGTAAAAAACCGACTGCATATCGACTTTAAGGTAGCAGAGCTGAAAGAGCACAAAATAGGTGTCAGTCATACCATTTTTTATAAAGAAAGGAAACACTACAAAATTATCCATTTGGGTTCTAACTGAGGGATAAGACCATGATAATGGCAACAGTTGTTAACATTTACAGTGCTTCAATCCTACGATGTGCTTGTTCATGCCCAATAAGTGAGGATCTGAAACTGAAAGCTTTCTTATATTTATTCCAATTCTAGTCTCCCTCTAGGGTATGGAATTCTGTAACAGGAGGGGTAAGTGCTTACAGAGGTCTTTTCTACATTTTTTACTTCCAGAAGAAGTCTCTTCAGTGTGAATTCTTGTATGCACTATGAGTCTTAGGCTACACTGAAGGCTTTATTTTTATATTCCTTACTTTCATAGTTTCTCTCCAGTGTGAGAACAATTACTCAAGATGAATGAAGATGAAAGGCTTTTCATAGTCTTTACTTTCACAGGGTTTCTTTTCACACTTCTGTAAGATATGACAGTTCAGGAAAGATGTTCCTATACATGGTAACTCGTTGAGCTCCCTTCCAGTGTGTCCTCACCCATGTTCATTATGGTGAAAAAAAATTAGTTATCATTTTTCCACCTTTCTTCATTCACAGGGCTTCTTACTATTTGTAAAACTTAAGATGATGTTTAGTTCTGATGATTTTGCAAAGTCTTTTCCACATTTGTCACATTTATAGGGTTTCTTTCCAGTGTGACTCCTTATATGTGCGTGTTTTGAGGCTTGTTGAAGGCTTTCCCACATTTGTTATAGTCATAGGGCTTCCATGCAATGTTCATTTTAAATGCTTATTAAGGTATAGGGAATATCTAAAGCCTTTCCCACTTTGTTACATTCATAAAGTTTTTCTCCAGTGTGAATTTTCATATGTCTCATAAGAAATTACTGAGAAGTAAAAGCTTTTCCACATTTGGGACACGCATGACTTTTCTCTCCAGTAGTAATTCTTGTGTGAACCAGAATTTGGAGCAGGGGCAGAGGTTTTTCCACCTTAATAATTCTTAGTCTACAGTACAGGACTGCATCTGCACACCATGGATTGAGTTATTTCTGAAGATGTTTCACATTTTGTAAAATTATACGTTTTCCCCCTAACATGAGTTATGTGTGCCTGAAGACATACATTGTCACTGCAGGCTATTCCAAAATGGACTCCACTCATGAATATTTGCCCTTGTATTAATTTTACTATGTATATGATGGACCTTGTTCTGACTACCTGTCCATGTGTTTGATTTTAGCTCTGATTTTCTCCCGTATGAAACCCAACGAATGTCATGCCTCAAGACTATCATATTCATTGTTTTCATATATATTATTTTATTTCAATGATTTTTGGGAAACAGGTGTTTTTGGTTACATGCAAAAGTTCTTTAGTGGTGATTTCTTAGATTTTAGTGTACCCGTTACTCAAGCAGTATACACTGTACTCAATGTGTAGTCTTTTATCTGTCACCCCACAACCTTCCCACTGAGTCCCCAAACTCCATTATGTCACTTATGTCTTTGCACCCTCATAGCTTAGCTCCCACTTATAAGTGAGAATATGCAATATTTGTTTTTTTATTCTTGAGTTACTTCACTTAGAATAATCATCTCTAACTTCATCAAGGTTACTGTAAGTGTCATTATTTGGCTCCCTTTCAGGGCTGAGTAGTATTTCCTGTCACATTTTTTTTGTTCACTCATTGGCTGACAGACATTTGGCTTCACATTTTTGCAACTGCAAATTGTGTTGCCATAAATGTGTGTACAAGTGTCTTTTTTATAGGACTTATTTTCCTCTTAGCATCTATCCAGTAGTGAGCTGATACAAATATATGTAGAGATAATTATAAAATAAAGCAATGACAAATGAAAGTTACTATTTCTAGTAGTAAAACAAAATATATTTATTGAGAAAAATTTGATAGTATTTATGTGCACATAAAATACAACTTTGGTATTTTGTATAAATGATACACTTTATCTCACTAGACTCATCCTGTGGTTAATTTGTGGGGAACCGTTTGAGACAATAATGTATCTTTAAATTTAGCTTCTTGGTTCACATTTTTCTTCAAGTTTCAATAGGTCTCTTTTAGGTAAATGCCTCCAAGAAAATGTTCAGATGCTTTGGGCTTTCTGTGGCCTCAAGGCAAAGGGAAAGTAAGTCTGAAGTCTTTTTTTTGAGACGGAGTTTTGCTCTTGTTACCCAGGCTGAAGTGCAATGGCACAATCTCGGCTCACTGCAACCTCTGCCTCCTGGGTTCAAGCAATTCTCCTGCCTCAGCCTCCTGAGTAGCTGGGACTATAGGCATGTACCACCATGCTCGGCTAATTTTTTGTATGTTTAGTAGAAACGGGGTTTCACCATGCTGACCAGGAGGGTCTTGATCTCTTGAACTCGTGATCCACCTGCCTTGGCCTCCCAAAGTGCTAGGATTATAGGTGTGAGCCACCGCACCTGGCCGAGTCTGAAGTCTTACTGTCTTCATGCTGTTCTCTAAACCTCTGCTTTCTCTGCGGCAGTGGTCTCTCTGGTCTGATCACTGGGGCCATTTCATTGCTCTACTCTGAGAATCAGAGTACAGTAGAATTCCTTTGCTTTATTGGCCTCCTGTTGGCTTGAATAAGATCTTCAGATGTCTCTGAGTTTCAGCAACCTTCCTTTTCCAGGATGTGTCTGAAATGGTCATATGTAGCCTTTCTGGCAGGACCATTTTGCCCCTTGCTACAGTAGCCCCATGTCATATCTGCTAGTTTTCAACTCAGTTAAGTTGCTTCTTATTTACCTCTATAGCACTTCCACATTGAAAGATTCCTAGGTCTAGCAGAACATTTTCTATAAACAAATCTTCCAGAAACAGAAGAATGCTCACACAGTAAGTCAGACAAACCAAATTTATTACCCAAAGAGGGGCAGGAAGAATCAGCAAAAGCCTAAGTTGTATGATAAGCCTTACCTTTGAGGTCAGAAAAGTAGCCAAGGGTTACCAGAGTTTCCTCTGCACATGCCCCACTTTGTACTGCAGCTGAGGATCCCCTAAGTTCTCTACTGTAGGTTACATATCCTATGTGCAACTTGGCTCCCTGAGTTTAAAAGTTGCAGGAATATCTGGTTCCAGGAGGAACAAGAACAGAGCCCAGACTATTCCAGACAATTTTTATCTTCATCTTGGGATATTGTCTTCTTGGAACATTCCACAATTATTCTGAGAACTAGGAGATAGAGAAAACTGAGTTTGTCAAGGCCATTAAGGTCTTGTCCTCCTGCCCACATAAACAAAGTAGACAACAAACAATAAGCATTAGCAGAAATAAGCATATTGCATTATGATAGCCATTCTTTGTTAGATAAAAGAATTTATCCACCAAAAAGTTATCCAAATTCTAACTGTGAATGAACCCAACAAACGCAGATTTTGGTCTGTTATTATGCTTTAATACAAGATTAACTAAACCAAAAAATTTAATTAAATACACAAACTCTAGAAGAAGTATAAAAATCATAAAGACTCATTTCAACAAAGGCTGGCATACAAAGTTATCAGATATGTGACAGAGTAATAGAAACTGTTGACAATGCCTAGATAGGGCAAAGTGAATATTATTAATATTCAAATCAGCAAAGAAAACAGTAAACAGAAAAATGGGTCAGAACATTCCAATACATTATTAGCAATCTGACAAATGCAAATGTTCACAAATAAAATGAGATCTGTATTTTAGCCACTGGCTTAGAAAATGTAAGAATCCTAGATAACATTGTGTGATAAGGATATGATGAGAAAAATCCTTTATGGGCAATGGATGGAAAATTAAATGGTTGCAAACATTTTGGAAAATAACATGGCAGGACCCATTTAAAAATATGTATACGCTACAATGTATCTGAATGATGGGTATATATCCCTGATAGGGTTTGGATGTGTTTCCACTCAAAATCTTGTGCTGAAATGTGATCCCCAGTGTTGGAGGTGGAGACCAGTGAGAGGTGTTGTATCACGGCCTGGATTTCTTATGAATAGTTCAGCACAAGAATTTCCAATCTTTTGGTTTTCCTGGACCACACTAGAAGAAGAATTGTTTTGGCCACACATGAAATACCCTAGCATTCGGCTGGACTCAAGATGGCGCTGTGAGAACAACCCAGGATTGGAGTTCTCGTTGTGTTTGCGGAGAGGTGAGTCTGAGCTGCATTTCCAGACCGATCTTTGTTGCTCACGGAATGGGGAAATTCCCAAGTGAAGAGGAGACGCGGGACGCCAGGCAGATATTCCACCTGGCGAAGCCAGCAGCCGGGGTGGCGGCGGCCGGCCCTACCCAGCGCTCCCCACAGGGCGCACTTGTCCGGGTGCCCCGTTGAACCGGCAACTGGAGACGTGAGAGGGCTGGACTTGAGACTGAGCTAGACTTGAACAGTGGGCCAGCCCAGGGGATTGCAGGAACAGAGCGTTAGGATTGGCCCAGTGGGACGAACAAAACCGCGATTTCAAACAAGCCCCTTGCAGACGGCCCGAGACGCTCTGAGGTGGAGGGGCGGCCACCATTACCGAGGTAACCCGCCCCAACTGAGATACACGCCCATTGCTGACGCAGCCAGCCATTGCCGAGGCAACCCGTCCCTACTGAGATACACGCCCACTGCTGACGCAGCCTGCCGTCGCCGAGGCAACCCGCTACAACAGAGAGACTCCGCCGCAGGGTGTGGCAGAGAACAGCAGAACAGCAGAGCCAGGGCGAGCCTCACAACAGCAGGGCGGAGCCTCGGCAGGCAAACAGTGGCTAGTCTGCATCCTAGCTGGGCAGGACCTCAACGGACATCCAAAAATAAAGCCCAAACCCCTCAACACAGCATTTGAGAAAAAAAAGGGTTTTTTTAATGAGCTCTGTTGCAGCAGAATCAAACATAGCGGCCTAACAGCCCTGAATGAACAACACAGCTCACAGCTCAGCAATTAAACCCCTATAAAGTACAAACTGTCTCCTCAAGCAGCTCCCTGACCCCTCTATATCCAAAAGACTGACATTAGGCAGGCACCATCCTGGGACAAAGATAGCAGAAAAAGAAACTGGTAGCATCCCTCGCTGTGCCACAGCTGCTAGAGGTGCACCCCAGACAAGCAGGGTCTGGAGCGGACCTCAGCACTCGTACAGCGAAGGGGCTAGACTGGTAGAAGGAAAACCAAGCAACAGAAATACTTCATCATCAACATTCTGGGTGTCCACTCAGAGACCCAATCGAAAAGTCAGCAACTACGCAGACGACCAGCGGACAAATCCACAAAGATGGGAAGAAACCAGCGCAAAAAGGAGCAAAACACCCGAAACCAAAACACCTCGCCTCCTAGAGAGGACCAAAACTCCTCACCAGCAAGGGAACAAAGCTGGACGGAGAATGACTGTGATGAAATGACGGAATTAGACTTAAGAAGATGGATAATGAGAAACTTTGGTGAGCTAAAAGATCATGTATTAAATCAATGCAAAGAAACTAAGAACCTTGAGAAAAGATTTGAAAAAGGATTTGAGGAAATGATAACAAGAATGGATAACTTAGAGAGGAATATGAATGAATTAAAGGAGCTGAGAAACACAATAAGATAACTTCACGAAGCATGCACAAGTTTCAATAGCCAAATTGACCAAGCAGAAGAAAGAATATCTGAAGTCGAAGACCAAATCAATGAAATAAAACGAGAAACCAAGATTAGAGAAAAAAACGCAAAAAGGAATGAACAAAGTCTCCAAGAAATGTGGGACTATGTGAAAAGACCTAACCTACGTTTGATAGGTGTACCAGAAGGGGATGAAGAGAATGAATCCAAGCTGGAAAATACTCTTCAGGACATCATCGAGGAAAATTTCCCCCATTTAGCAAGACAGGCCAACACTCAATTGCAGGAAATACAGAGAACACCACAAAGATATTCCGCAAGAACAGCAACCCCAAGGCACATAATCGTCAGATTCAATAGGGTTGAAATAAAGGAGAGAATACTAAGGGCAGCCAGAGAGAAAGGTCGGGTCACCCACAAAGGGAAGCCCATCAGACTCACAGCAGATCTCTCGGCAGAAACACATGCCAGAAGAGAGTGGGGGCCAATATTCAACATTCTTAAAGAAAAGAACTTTCAACCCAGAATTTCATATCCAGCCAAACTGAGCTTCAGAAGTGAAGGAAAAATAAAATCCTTTGCGAACAAGCAAGTACTCAGAGATTTTGTCACCACCAGGCCTGCTTTACAAGAGCTCTGAAAAGAGGCACTACACATAGAAAGGATCAACCAGTACCAGCCATTGCAAAATCACA